TATATATTTGTATATTTGACTAGTAATTATAATTATTTTCGGCTGACAAGTCAAATATGTTAAAATAGGATAAAAAAGATAAATGTGAATGATTGCTTGAAAGTAAAAAGCGGACTTCGTTATCTTGATTAATTAATTACAATAAAACTTTGAAAACTGGAACTTCATTTGATTTCTTTTCGTTTCTTCCATCATTAATACTATATTTCATTTGACTGTTAGCATATACATAATCTATCAATAGATCTATCAATATGAACCTGATCCCATACTATTGATCAACGAATGAGTGCTATACCAAAATACTTTAATAATAGGAGAAGAGATTGAAGAACAACATCAATAATAACATGCCAAGTATGATTCCACAACATGGGTTTGGGAGGGTGAGATGTATGCAATATTTATTCCTACCTTACGTGAGATAGAGAGGTTGTTTCTGATAGGCTCTCGGCCGAAAAAAATTATTTTCAAAACAAGTACGAAAAATACCAGAGTAAAAAGCTAAGATAAAAATACTAGAAGAAAAAAAGTATTAATATAAAATATAGTAAACATAACCAAAGTAGAGGTAATAGAATTAAAAAAAAAATGAAAATAATAATAATAATAATAATAATAATAGATAAGGACAAGAGATTAAAGTAGCAGAAAAATGTACCATCCAAAATTAGTAAAAAAGCCAGCCGTAACCAAAAAGTATGAGCCACATATATTCTTTCCACGCTTAGCAAATAAGAGTTCCCATTAGTATAAATAGTTTGAGTAGTAAACCCTAGCATTTCCTTCCTCTTTATTCTCTTCTTCATATCCATATATACTTCTTCTTGCACCTTGGTCTTACATTTACTCCATGTCCTTTCTCTTCATAGCAACTACAAACTCGTAGTTTTCTTTCGATCTAACGATTCAGTATCTGAAACCAACTGATTCGTCTGCTGCTTTAAATTAACAATATCTAAAGATATTACAAAGGTAGCAATCGTGGATCGAAGGTATGGGAAGAGGCCCTTTTCAGCCAATGAATCGGAGGAGAAAGTGGATTACACGAATACTACAACTACTAATACAAATGAAGAAGAACCTATTTTCCCTTTCTACTCAGCTCGATCTCAACATGACATGTCTGCTATGGTTTCTGTTCTTTCTCAAGTTATTGGCAACACTAATAATAATAATAATACTACCAATATTTCTTCGGTTAATTCGTCCGTGCATGGAATTAATCCATTAACCCTACCTCAATCAACTGGTGCGAATCTGCAAAACCAATCTCAGTCCATCCAAGAACAAGGTATTACATCATATTATTATATATATTTGAGCCCCCTTTTTTCTTTAATTAATTAAAGAACATATTTTTCCATCCTTGTTATGATCGATCTTCACTAACAAAATAAAATAAAGGGATTATCGTATGGCTTATTATGTGATATATTTTGTACTTGCATTTTTTTTCCTTAAGCGTTGTAGATGGTCTGTGTGACAATAATTAATCTAAGTAATCTTAATTTTATTCTTATCTAAGTTGTTAAACTTGTTTTTCATTGCTTATTTATATATTAGAACAAAAATATTCTTCACACATAGGTATCTACCTTCTCAGCTAAAACAACCTTAGTTGATCTCCTAGTTTCCTTAAGTACTCCTAGTTCAATGAAAGAAATATAAAAAAAAAATGAAAAAGAGAGAGGAAAAACTCGTTTATAGTCACTTGATTTTTCTATAGAATACAAAAGTCAACAAATATTATCAGGATTCTATTTTTAACAACTCCATGGTTTCTTTTTCTTTTTTATTAAATTATGTGATCAACATTCTTGTTATATATGGATTTATCTTATATCCAACGGTCAATGCGTAAATAACTTTTATACCATCAATACAATTTAACGTGTTTTTGGTAGTTGCTTAATTACCTTATATTTCATGTTACTAGTTGATTATGAATAATTAGTTATATGTGTATGAAAAGGAAATCAGCAGAGAAAACGGCATTATAGAGGAGTAAGACAAAGACCATGGGGAAAATGGGCAGCCGAAATACGTGACCCAAAAAAAGCTGCTAGAGTTTGGCTTGGAACTTTTGACACTGCTGAAGCTGCAGCACTTGCTTATGATGAGGCTGCACTTAAATTCAAAGGCAATAAAGCTAAACTCAATTTCCCTGAAAGAGTTCAAGGCAAAACTGAATTTAGTTTTCTCACCAATACTACACAAGAGTTTGGCATAGTTGGTCAGCAATTTTCAGCTACTAGCTCCAATAATAATAATAATAATCACAATATTAATCTCCCTTATTTTCAGCCTAATTATTTGTCTCAAGAACATTTTCCTAATGTGCATCACTACGCACAGTTGCTTCGTGATGGAAATAATTTTGAGATGAATTTTGGGGTTTCGCCAAATTTTTATCAACCAATATCAGAAGGTTTTGTTTCGGAATCGCTACCGAATACATCATTGGCATTACAACAAGGAACATCTCATGAGCAGGAACAAGAAGTTGGTTATAATCAGAAAGAAGAAGATTTTCTGAGATTTCCATTTCATTTTGGGAATTCTAATTCAAGTGCTGGACCTAATACTGGTGAAAGTAATTGGGAGGATTTTGAACGTAGAAAGTAATTTCTTGCTATGTACTTAAGGTGCAACGACTTTCGTGCAGCTGCTACACTCTTCATTAAGAGGATGTTCGTTATAATTAAGTTTGTAATGAGTAATCAAGGTTCTTTGGTTTGTCAGAAATAACCTCTGTATCTCTGACAAGATAAGGCCGTAAGGGTAGGGTCTACGTACACGCACCTTCACAAACTCCAATTGTGGGATTTTTCACCGGGTATGTTGTTGTTGTTTATTGTGTTTGTGTAAAATGCGATTTTTTCCCTCGCTTTTCTTTCACTGAATTGTAACTTTTGGAAGGTTTGTTTACTCTTATGAACCTAGCTATGAAAAATTGTCGTGTGATTTTCTACGTTTAAAGTTTCCATTTGTTTCACTTCATATTTCTCCCAAACTTCAATCAAGTATTTTATTGAGGGTTGAAGTTTCAAGACAATATAAAGATTTTTTCACCATCAGGTAAAATTGATCGATAACAATAAGTAATCCTTTCTATACGATACAATAACCTGATAAAATTTTTACACTTTCAATATATATATATAACTTGAATCTTATTTAGTTATGTCTCAATTTCAGATTAACTGCTCAAGGTTACATTAATTTTTCTGCATCTCTTAGTTATATATGTTGATATTCCTTAAATGATGCAATTGGTATGGTAATTGCGTAGCTGAAGTTAGTAGGCAGTTTCGTTAGCCTCTTTTGCATGGCAACGTAAGAGGTACCCGCAAGATTTATAGGTAGGGACTAAGCTATCGCTTCCATTCACTTGAAACACGTGTGTAATATTTAAGTTCATGGACCCCTATTTATGCTTTTCTTGTAAGTTAATGGCGTTATATTTTTATTTAATCTCAAATAAAAGGTCTATAAAAGAATTTAATCTATTCAGTGAAACTCTATATCCTCTAGGAATATCATTCTGAAGAAATAATATATTATGACTCTTAATTTGCTAAGTGTTTCATTGAAGACTTGAAAAAGTCTCTTTATTAATAAGGTCACAAGCAGGCTAGTTTCGGCTATATTACAAGATTTTTATATACCAAAAAATAGAGCCTATATCCACTTTGGTAATTATATTATTTCAAAAAGGATTTGAGGTATATACACTGATAGGATAATATACTTCTGACATTATCAATGTATTTTAATCTACTATAGCAGGTTATTACTTATCATTATTCTAGATTATCAATTAATAGTAGCTAGTAATAAGTTAGTATATGGTATTACCTTTTAAATTGCCTGATATACAAATATTTATTACAGTGTCAGAATATACATAACTTAAAGCTCTTCCAAATATTTTCATTAACTAGGATCGTATGCAGGGGCGGATCTATGTAGTGGAGAGGGGGTGCCACGCCACCCGGACGCTTGAGTAAAATTTAATGTATATAGTGTTATTTCACATAATAAAATGGATATAAGTAAAGGGTGCAACAATAGTAACAATGTGACGGTAGTTGCCAGTGGTCAAAGCTCCAGTTTTCTGGACTTTCGCCCGGGATCGAAATTCATTTTGTACTTGGTTCCATTTTCATTTTCTAGATCTCCAAAGTTTTGTTTGAATATACAACAACAACCCAGTATAACACCCTCGGCTCCCTCTCTCCAAGAACTCCCCACCTTACTCTTGGGGTGACTCGAACTCACAACCTCTTGATTGAAAGTGTAGGGTACTCACCACTAGATCAACCCACTTTTATTTGAATATAATTTTAATTATTTTCCTTTGTTATTCATCTAGTATTATTTTTTTCTTGATATCAAATTGGACCAAATATTTTTAGTGTGGTGATTGCGTATTTATTTATGTACCAAAATTTTATAAGCCGTATCGAATTAATTCAAGATAGATCGAACCGAACCGAGAGATTCAAAATATAGTGAATCGACCAAACATCACTCTTTTTCAATATCCTTGACTGGTAGTAGCTTCGCATTAAAATTTAAATTGAACCGTACCCGCAACCATGAAATTTTGGACCCGTCTGTGAATTCATATGATTAAATCTCATGAGTCTGGTACATTCCAAACAATAATTATGATCTCGTGATATCTCTGGTAAATCTTATTGTCAAAAGTGAGATTTCATCCTTCTTTTTTCCGCTGATATATGGTACGACGTTTCAAAAGATCCAAAAAGAATGAAAGAAAGGGAGAAAAAAAAAAGGGATTAACATGAACGGCAAGAAAATGACGCTTAAGTAATGCTACTTTTATAAGATTCGAATCCTGTGATTGAAAATGATGGGAAAATTTTATGAATTAAACTACCGAAAGATCCATTGGCTATTAATGTGAATGTTTTTGTTATATGTATGCACGTTCTAATTACAAATTGAACCATGAGAGACTAGGTTTATATTTTAATTAAAAGATAAAAAATGCTAAGTAATTTCTTTTTATTTGTTTAAATATAAATTAGTGGAGAGCTGGCCTATAATGTTAGTGAGAGATTATAGGTATGTAATTAATTAGTTGAGATGTGAATAAATTGGTCCGAATATTATCCTTATCGAAAGACAGGAGAAAGACAAAGAGTTACAACTATAGCCGATTAAATTTGTTCAATTCAATTTATATAATTGAATTGACGAATCGAATGAAATGGCTACCTAAAATGTTTTTTTGGTCAATCTAATCGTTCAAGTAAGACTGACAAAGACCAAATTAAAGTGGTTGGTGAGATCAAATTAAGAGCGAAATCGTCAACCGGTATATAGCTTATAAATTACAATTAAGTCACTAAAACCAAAAGAATTCTCCCTTTTACTAATTCTACTAAAGAGTATACAGAATTAACTTCAATTATAGGTTAACGCTAGCTATTTTCAACTTTTATACGCGGATAATAGAAAGAATTTGTTACTTAAAATTAAAGCAGAGTAGCTAGAGATAACTACTGTTTATAATGGTGATCTACAGAAAGCACGATAACTAATTATATAAGTAAAGAATTTTTATACCATCAGATTATTTTTACTTGTTGTAGTACTAGTATGTATCTTATCTTATTTTCATGACTATAAATTTTAAAATAGCTTATCTGTAGATATCCTTTAGGTAACCGGTACAACTGAGACCGTATATATAAACTAAAACTCTTTAATAAAATCTCTAGTATAAAATTTTATACTATTGATTGATGTAACTACTAAAATCCAAGCTAAAAGCGGCTCATTAGTGATGCTAATACCGACTCCATATAGTTATAGACTTATAGGAAATTAATCACTTTCTTCAGGAAATCAATTAGCTAGTATGTAGAGAACTAGCTATAAGTGTAATTAAAGCCATCAGCCTTAAACGGCGCATAGGCCTGGGAGCCTTAAAATAATAATAATAATAATAATAAAATTTAATTTATATACAGTACAAATAAATATTATTAATATAATTTAACATATTATATCAAATTGGAAATTTTATATTTCTCTAAGTTAATAATTTTATCTGCAATGGCCCTATAGACACATATGTATCAGTTTTGAAATGACGTGAGTGCGTAAAAGTTAAATCTAATAATAAACTAAGACATGTTTCTTCACCTATGATCTATCAGCTGCTTTTGTCAAAAAGATAAACAAAGAATATAATATATAACGCACGCCCAGTACTCTCTTTTTTGTTTTTTATAATATAGAAAAACAAGAAATTAAAGAAAAAGCATGCATATACTTCCCTTTGTTGAGAAGCTAGTTCCGAACTCGACTTTTGACATATCTAAAGTTTGAAAAATGAAAAGATCATTTTGCATGGAAACGTGCATGAATGTTAATCATTCCCCAATCTTTGTTACATAGTGAACATATATATATATATATATATATATATATATATACTTTAAGTGCAAAAGCAGTGAGAAGTAAGCTTCTTTACCCGAAAGATCGGATAGAATTAAATTTGTATATGGTTTTAAGGATACGTGATATAACTTGATACAAATTGCAGAGTGAAATAGAAATATATATATTTTTTGACAGATGGAATGAAATATAAGACAGAGAAAAAGGAAATGTTGATGAACAAGGCAAAGTAAATGGGCCCAAAAGTGTTAATCTCTCTGAAGTTGTCCTTTTTTTACCCTCCCCCTTATGCTCACAAGAATTTCCCCCTTTATAGTAGATGGATCCTACTTTATCTATATAAAAAATATATAGTGGAGAACCCATGATGAATTATCTTTTCCTCGATTTCTGCCAAGATTCTCTCCCCTAGTGCGGTTGCAACGACTCTTGTCTGTGAGCTCGATACCGATTCGAGCTCGGTATTGGATCGAACTCTCGGCCTTGGTTCGAGCTCGACTCTAACTCGGAGTCTAAATATTTGGGGTGAGTGTTGGTCGGTCTATGCATCTTCGATAATCTCCGCTTCGCCTCGTAGTTCGATTTGGATATGAGCTCGATAATGATACCGAGCTTGTCGTTGATTGGTCTTAGAGTTTGAAGCTCGACGCCCTTACTTCGGACCTCGACCCGTCGTCGCGCAGATACCCTTTGATCGAAGTATTATCACCTCGACCAGTCCGTACGACTGACTTAATCAGTTTTGACCGTACACAAAGCTTTCACTTGCTTATTTCTACTCGGATACATATTCATTCTCACTTGTAGTTCTTTAATATTCCCGTACAAGAACAGTCCGATGTATAAAGTATTTTGCATTTACTCTGGGTTCGAGAAAGAGCCGCACTTCAAGAGGTGTGATGTACAGAGCCTACCCTAATGCAAGTATTAATGACTGCTTCCATGACTCGAATCCGTGACATATAAGTCCACGAAAATAACTTTACCGTTGTTTCAAGGCTCCCCTTCATTCTTGTACCAGAGTTAGAATTTGAAGCTTAAAAATTCCAATTATTTAAAATTTCTGATTTTAAATTAAGTAATTTATAAATTTTAAATAAAAATTTTAAGGCCCAAAATACTGGATTCGACCGAAGCCGAATACTCTAGCTCCAGATCACATATCAGTATAAATTAAAGAAGAAAAGAAAAACAAATGTGAAAGGAATGGACATTCTGTAGCAAAATTCTAGAAGTCACTGGTCATCAAATTCGGCTCAGTTGACGACAGAGAAAAAAATATAAACCGGCTCACTTAGAAAAGCAAAACACGTACTCAAACTAGGAATGTTCATGAATATGAATCATGACTTAGTTTCCCCTTTTCTTCTTCTTTACGATACAACATGTTGGGAGTTCACTTTGTTCTTTTAAGTACTTTTATTACTGTTTCTAACTTTTTTTGGTTAAAAAATACTACTCCAAATTGACTCCTTTCCCCAAACTAATAGCCTAATTGGCCAGGTCATAAAAATTAGCTTATTTTAAAAAATATT